TGTGCTTTACACAATTGATCTATGTATTGTGATGAATTGTATGAGCCCCAATAAATTGATTTAAAAATAAATAAATAAATAAAACTGATGCATGGTACACAATGAGAATGTATATTTCATTTTATGAAAAATTTTACTTCAACAAAATGGGAGAAATTTAAACAAATATGGAACTCTAATTAATAATATGCATGCCAACGTCTCAAGGGGATTTAAAATGCATTTTTAAAAATTAAATGGATAAAAAGATAGATGTATAGCTATCACATACAGAATCTAAATGGGTTTTAGAGCTCATTGTATAATTATTTAAATTTTGCTATATATTTTTAAATTTACTAATAAAATGCATAAACATATTTTGTGTGATTATATATCAATACATAGGGAAAATGCCTTGAAAGGACTTTGCCAACATATCAACACTGGTTATCTCGTATAGTAGAATTCTGAGGAGGTTCTACTTTATTTTAATTGTACTTTTTAAAAATTTATATTTTGTAATTTCTTTGCAATGAATAAGTGTTGCTTTTAAGTTCTAAAAGCCACAACAGTCTTTTAATGATACATTTTTAAAGTGTACAGTGGTTGTTCAGCAAAAGATATAATATTAAAGTATATATGACAAAATGTTGTTGATTGTTAAATTTGATTATGAGCCTAGTGCAGTAATTAAAATAATTTTAGGAGCTTTTAAAATTCCCAGGTTCATTGTAATTGGTTCCCCTTTTCTCCCCCCACCATCCCCTTACCCTCCTGGTATCACTGCTCTCATTATTGGTCCTGAGGGGTTTATCTGTCCTGGATTCCCTGTGTTTCCAGCTCTTATCTGTACCTGTGTACATGCTCTGGTCTAGTTGGATTTGTAAGGTAAGATTGGGATCATGATAGTAGGAGGGAGGAAGCATTAAAGAACTAGAGGAAAGTTGTATGTTTTCATCGGTGCTATACTGCACACTGACTGGCTCGTCTCTTCCAGGGTGACCGACAACAGAAAAGTGGGTGAAGGGAGACATTGGTCAGTATAAGACATGAAAAGACATGAAAAAATTTTTTTTATAAATTTTCATGAGGGAGGGGGAAAATGAGCTGATACCAAGGGCTCAAGTAGAAAGAAAATGTTTTGAAAATGATGATGGCAGCATATGTACACATGTGCTTGCTACAATGGATGTTTGTATGGATTGTGATAAGATCTGTACAAGCCCCCAATAAAATGATTTTTTAAAAATTCCAGGTTCAGGTTATATCACAGACCCTAATTGAGTCAGACCCTCTAGAGTTGGGTCCCAGGTATCAGTATAATTTTATAGTACTCCAGTGTGGTCAAGGTTGAGAACCATTTTAAGTGGTAAACTTAAATAGTGCTTGTACTATTCTTTGCGCCTTTCTGGATATTTGAAAATTTTCATTAAAAATAGAGGTATAGATTTAATATAATCAAGATATCCATACTATCCAAAGGAATATACCTATATAATGCAATCCAGATAAAATTCCAACAGCATTTTCTTACAGAAATGGAAAAACTAATCCTCAGTTTTTAAGGAAAGACAAGAAACCCTGAATAGCCAAAGCAATTTTGAAGACAAAGTACCTCATATTTCCTAACTTCAAAATATATTATACATGAGGAAGTGGATGGACTTTGGGGTTCTACTCAAGCCATCCCTCAACGCATCCCCACCCCCCTAGCAATAACAACAACCAGAGTGACTGGTGTGTTTCAACCACTAACCATTTGGTTAGGAGCCCAGTGCTTAACCCACTATACCAACAGGGCAGTAAAAACTTGTAATTTCAGTTATGGAAAGGTAACACTGAGGTGAAATGTATATAACTTAAAAAAGGTAAATAATGTCACTAAAAAGTACATATGATAAAAGGACCTGTTGATAATTACTATGACATCTATAATTTTGAAACAACAGTATGAATAATAAAAATATATATGTACAAGCATATATGTATGTATGTAGGTAGGTAGGTAGGCATATATGTGTACGCTATTGTTAGCTGCCATCAAATCAGTTCTTACTCAGCACCCTATGTAAAACAGAACGAAATACTGTGCCATCCTCACAATCATTGCTATGTTTGTTGCAGCCAGAGTGTCAATCCATCTCCCTAAGGATCTTCTTTTACACTGATCCTCTACCAAATATGCTGTCTTTCTCCAGGGATTGGCTCCTCCTGATTGTGTGTCCAAAGTACATGAAACATTGCACTATCCTCATTTCTAAGGAACATTCTGGCTGTACTTCTTCCAAGACAGATTTGTTTGTTCTTCTGGCAGTCTAAGGTACTTACAGTATTCTTCGCCAATACTAAAATTCAAAGGCATCAAGGCACAGCACAACTTAGTCCTCAAAGTGACATCTTTGCTTTTTAACACTAAAGAAGACTTTTGCAGCAGAATTACCCAATGCAAATTGTTGGGAGCCATCCCAAGCATGTTGTCTAGCAAAACTCCAGCCTGGTTGGAGGAGCATCTGCAGAGCAGAGCTTCCCAGGGAGGGTTTCCAACATCCCTCAAATATTTACTGTTTTTAATTCCATTCTTGGGAATTTTGTGCATTGTCATGTTTACTGCACCTGGAGTGGATGCGAGGGCAGTCTTGAGAAGTACAAATGAAACCAGATCTAAAACTTGTTTCAATATGATGGGGCTTCCCTTAACTGAGGCATTGGAGAAGCTTAGATAGCAAGACATCTTTGGGAATCTTGAGAAGGATATGGGGGAACTGAGTGAGGAAGCAACCCAAAAGTTGAGGTCAGAGGAGAAAATGAAACCCACCAAAAAACCCTGGATTCCATTATTCAGATTATCTGAATGGAATCCAGGTAGTGGGAGACTCTTGGCCTCCCCGATATAGAGGACCTTATAGACTGCCTCCCCCAACTGACATAACTTATACACTGTCTCCCCCAACTGACGCCCCTTTACCTTGGGCAGGGGCTTACATAGAAGGAGAGAGAATGGTTATCACTAATAGAAAACACGTAAAATGGGAAACATTAAGTCTTTGGCAAAGAATCAGACGGTTTGGCCCCCCCATGGTGCCTCAGGAGTACAAAAAATAAAAGAGACATAGGTAGACAATGGAACAGTTATAAAGGAAAATATTTGAGAAGCATTTAACTCTGCTTGTAGCTATTTTTAAAATAATGTAGGCTTTGAAGTAGCACATGAGGTAGTAGTTTCATTATGTTAAGTTAGTCAACCAGGAAAGGAACATTGTGAGCAGAAAATAGGGCAGTGAGTAGGATATGAGTTTAACCAAATTTTCTGAACACCTCAATCAAGAATAGCATGTAACCTATAAAACAAACAGTACAGAAAGAAAGAGCCAGGAAGAGGACAAAGTGATAGAAAAAGTACACTTGTCAATTATAGGGCATTGTTTTTATGTAGTAGTTTGTAAAACTTTTTATGGTATAAATAAAGCTGTTTGGAAGAACTTGGCAGAGATTGCTTCCACCAGAACATCTCTTGTGTCTGTCTCATCTGTGTTCACCGACTCCACACCTCCTTCAGGTATCCAGTTCAACCCTCCTGGAGCTGGACTCCAGCAGCAAATCCTTTGATTTCTTTACTGCTATTTCCAAGCATTGATTGTGGATCCAAGTAAAAATCTATGTGTACACAAAATAACCCCTTAACTTCACACCCATCAAGTTGATTCCAACTCATAGAGACCCTTTAGGACAGAGTAGAACTGTCCCTGTGGATTCCAAAGTTGTAAATGTTTATGGAAGTAGAAAGTCTCATCTTTCTCCTGCAGAGGAACTGGTAGGTTCAAACTGCTTACCTTGTGGTTAGCAGCCCATCTTATAACCCACTATGCCACCAGGGCTTCTTGTATATGTCTACAGTTATGTATGTATGTGTGTATTAATGTTAAATAAGTATATGCATATGTATCCATACCTACCTGACTGCACATATATTCATACAACCGTGTATCACTAACATCTGTTCAGGCAACATACAGTTGCCTGACCACATACTGTATATGACCACATACGGTATATATCTATGATCCCATAAAATTATTCAGCTCTGGGAGAAACCTATAGTTCCCCACCCCCCTTCAGGAGAGACAGAAAAAGAAACACTTGTTTAATTTCCATGATAGGTTCTGGGAAATACATTATGTGATTTGGACGTGTGAACACCATATTATATATTCACTTGCCACCTTCCAGAACCTTTCCCCCTTGGCTCAGTATTTGACCACATGGGAGAAAATTCAGCTGGCAACTTTCTTCCTTCCTCCCTCCCTGTAAGCCCTTCTTCTTCTCTTAGTCCTCCACCAAGCTTCTTCCCATGGTTGTACATTGCCAAAAGACATTAAGTAGCAGCACATGACTATTTTACAGACTGTATCCTGGGTGTTAAGTGATATGTGACTGTCCAATAAAACACATAGAGAGTACAGTTATAAATACTTTGTACCCACTGCCATCAAGTAGATTCCAACTCATAGTGACCCTGTATGACAGAATAGAATTGGCCCTGTGGGGTCCCAAGGCTGTAATGGTTACAGGAGCAGGAGTCCTCTCTTTCTCCCATGAAGTGACCATTTAGCAGCCCAACTTATAACCTACTACACCACCAGGGCTCATTTAAATACTTCTTAGACAGTATAAACCTTGTGAAATTCTGGGTTTGAAGGATTGGGAACATACCCTCATGGGACATCTTGGTCAATTGGTGGAAGGTAGTTGTGTTCTTTGATGTCTGGGGTATTAAAAGTTTGTAGGAAGGCATACAAAATATAATTATACTGTTACTAGTCCAGCCAATGGGAAAGAAGAAAGCCAATGACTGAAAGAAGAAAAAAGTCTACAAAGCAAATAGTCTATATAAACCACAGTCTCTTTGAGCCTGAAACCAGAAGATGGTGTCCAACTACCGTTGTCTACGTCCTAATCAGGGCCATAATAGGTGGGTCCTGATAGAAAGGGAGAAACATGTAGAACAGAACCTAAAATTTGAAAAAAAAAGGCTTACTGGACTGGCTGATACTGGAGTACTCCCTGAAATTACTGCCCATAGATAATCTTCAAACCTAGAACCAAAATTAACCCCAGAGGTCACTTGGCTCATAAAATAATGAGCATCACCCATAAGTACTTATGCTTTAAAAAAAAATCTATTTGAGACCAAACAGTCGACAATCATTTAAAACAGAGAGGAGAATGTAAGGAGGCAGGGAAACTGTTGTATGCCATCAAGTTTGTTCCGATTCATAAGGACCTTATATCCAACAGAACAAGCCACCACCCAGTTCTGCACCATCCTCACATTTTTTCTTATGTTTGCACCCATTGTTGCAGCCACTGTGTCAATTCATCTTGTTGAGGATCTTCCTCTTTTACACTGCCCCTATAATTTACCAAGCTTGATATCCCTTTCCAGGGACTGGTCTCTACTGATAACACCTTTGAGTCTCGCCATCCTTGCTTACAAGGAGCATTCTGGCTGTACTTCTTCCAAGACAGATTTATTTGTATTTTTGGCAGTCCCTTTCAATATTCTTCACCAGCACCATAATTCAAATACATCAATTATTTTTTGGTCTTTCCTATTCAATGTGCAACATGCATATGAGGCAATTGGAAGTACCATAGCTTGGGTCAGGCGCATCTTAGTCCTCAAAGTAACATCCTTGCTTTTCAAAACTTTAAAGAGGTATTAGCATATATACTCGAGTATAAGCTGATCTGAATATCAGCCAAGGCACCTAATTTTACCACAAAAACTGCATTAAAAATGTGCTGAAAAACTCAGCTTATACTCAAATATATGGTATGTAGCATATTTACCCAGTGCCTTGCATCATTTGATCTCTTGACCACTGCTTTCATGAGCATTAATTGTGGGTCCAAACAAGATAAAATCCTTGACAACTTCAATCAAAATGGAACAACTATAACAGAAATAATGGCTATGTTCACACACTTTGAAGAATGTAATTAGTGTTACTGAAAAGCATGTGTAGAAATTGTTGAATGGGAACCTAAACTGTTCTGTAAACCTCATCTGAAAATACAATATTATGCTATTAGAGAGGGTGGGGTGGGGAATGAGAAATGGTAAAAGTCATTGCAAAGAAAATCCTTTATGCCTTCCCTCTGCCACTAGGAGGAAACCCTACACTGCTTGGTGGGTCAGTCTGTGGCCAGCTTCCCTCAGTAGTCTCCTTGCCCTTTCTCTTTTCAGAAGTGTCCCATGACATGATTGGTCAGTCAAGCTCTGCTATGGCCCAACTGGAACCTGTATCTGTCCTCTTCCCAAAGTGCTTATTGTTGCTTTGTTCTCACTTTCCCCATTTGCAGGATTCTGTGATGCTTTCAGTGTTCCAGAGCTTCAAGGCCCAAATCCTGGCTTCTTATTCCAGGACACCCTCTAGCCCACAATTATTTCTCTTTCCTGCCTCCATATCATCCCAACAAAGATTTCATTCTACATTTCTCACTTTCTAGCAATCTTCAAAATCAAATGATATACAGGTGTAAATCCATTCTCTGATCCTGACCTTGGCTTTGACCTTATACCGTATCAATGGGCTTTCAGAAAGCAGCATGTGCAATGGTTAAGAGCATGATCGACAGCAGGGCCAAACAGACTGAGCTCCAATTCCAGCACTCTTCCTTTCTAGCTGTAGGACTTTGGACAAGATGCATGATAACTGTTCTGTCTCAGTTTCTTCATTCATAAAATGAGATTGATTATAACATTAGCTACTTCAAAGGATGTTGTAAGAATTTAACTATGAATTTAATGTTAAGCTTCTAAAATGTTTCAAGTATACAGAAAAGTAGACAGAATAGTACAAGTGCAATAAGTACCTATATATGCACTATAAAAATTTAATACATTTTTTAACATTTTGCCATGTTTACTTCATCTCTATATAGGTATATTTGGGGTAATGAATCATTTTAAAGTGTTGAACTTCACCACTAAATCTTCAGCAGACATCATCAAAAAACAAGATCATTCTCCTAGGTAACCACTATAACATTACTATACCTGAGAAAATTAGCAATAATTCTCCATTCACATTCAGGTGTTCCCTATTGTTTTACAAATGTCTTTCAGGGCTGTTTTTCCTAAAACTGGGTTCTGATCAAGGAATAGACATTGCATTTGGTTGTTACTTCCCTTAAATTTCTGACTATAGAATAGACTATTTGTGTTTTTATTACTCATGTGAAGGATAGTATCTCCCACTTCCTTCTCTAATGAAATCCACCAGAAACAAATTCTCACCTTAATCAAGAAGAGTATTCATTGCCCAAAAGGCTCTTTGCATAAGTGCCACCTTTTCCCACATCCTGAAGTACTCACCCTGAGCCCAAGTGGCCTCTAGTCCTCAGGTATCATCCATACCCTTGAAGAGAAGGACTGCATCTCTAGGGAATGGGATCTACCCTTTCTTTGGAACAATCTTTTCCTCCAGGGAGGTAGGCTTGGAATAAGGTCTAGAATGCTTCAGCATCACTGAAAGGAAGAGGGGGATGAAGGGCAGCCATAGGTAAGGGCAAGTACCTGGCCTGGAGCTCCAGGGAGCGCTGCTTTCCTGAAACCAGGAAGGTTCGAGGCAGATTGAGGTTGGAGCTTTCCTTTAGCTGGATAAGGAAGAAAAGAGCTTAGTGAGGACTACTGTGCTATACAGGGCCTTAACCCTCTGCCCACATGTATACACAGATTTGAGGTAAAAGCCAGAATGTCTTTGTTCCTTCCAAAGACCACGGCCCCATTTCAAGCTCCCATTTCCCATGTCCTGGTACTTACCTCCATGCCATCTACGTCAATACGTGCCCGTACGCTGAACTTCTGGCCAAGGAGCCGCAGCCTGGGCACGCAGTAAAGGAGACGGTCATTGAACTAGGAAGGAAAATGTTTGGGATGTATGTGATGTGGTTCTAATGGGGAAGTGATCCAGCTCCCTAACATTCTGGGATTCCTGACGTTTATTGTTGGGAACTCAAAGTGTTAGATAGAAAAAACATTGGCCACAGGCATCACAAAGTAAAAGCCCACACATGAAAGTCACTTCCTAGCTGTGTGACCCTGGAAAAATTACTTCTCTGTAAGTCTTAGTAACCTCATTTGTAGAGAAAAAAAAAGTTCTAGTGTATATAGTGAAAATGTAATGAGTTAATAGGGGAAAGAATGGCTGAGATGAGGTATTATCTTCAGTGAATGTCAGAACATTGTATGTATAGGGGCATGACCCCATGCCTGGCACTTACTAGTATGAGGTATCGGTCTTGAGTGGTCCCATTCTTTGCTGACAGTTTAAGGATGTGACCTTCTTTTATGAGCTCTTTAGTAGGGCTGACAATGTCCTCCTCACCCCCTAGTAGCTCATAGACCTTCAGCAGCTTGTGCATTCGCTCCTGGCAGAAGACGGTGAGCAAAAGGAAAGGTTTGGGTGTAAGCCTTCCTTCAGGTGCCCACAAATCACAAGCTCCCCCAGAACAGAGACACAGGCAGGGCTAGAAGGGCCTCTCACCATTTTTCGGATGGCAGCATTGGAATGCTCTGCTGCTGTGGCTATCAGCTCCAGAGACTCTGTGGGCGGAGAAAGATGTGGTGAGACAGGTGTTGATAGGAGGCCTTTGGGGCATTCTTTCTTCCTTTAATATCTCCTTGTGGCCTAACTACATACTCATCATCCCAGGAAGTGCCAGCTTCCCTGATGTTCATACCATTATTTATAATCAGAAGTTGCTTCAATGCCACAACTGTATAATCAAAGGACGTGAATGTAAAAACTAAAACCAAAAAAATATTTATCTTAGTAATCCTGATTATAGGTATCTATGCTAAAAAATACATTTTCTATGTACAAATACAGTTCATTGCAGTGGGGTTTACAACAGTGATAAGAAACAAAAATGTCCAAACTATAAGGGGGTGAGTTAAATGAATTATAGAGCCCTGGTGGTATAGTGGTTAAGCGTTAGACTGCGATCAGCATGGTTGGCAGTTCAAAACCATCAGCAGCTCCGTGGGAGAAAGACTGAGCTTTCTACTCTCATAAACAGTTACAGTCTCAGAAACCCACAGGGGGTCACTATGAGTCAGCACTGACTAGATGACAGTGAGTTTGATTCTGGTTTTATATTAATAAAATGTAATATTAATCTTGATATATGATACTTGTTATAAGGTTTATAATTTGGGAAATATTCAGGATTTTAAGAGGAACAAACAGTTACAAACTTATATATACTACATGATCTCAAGTTTGCAAATATTCATGTATAAAAATCACCAGGAAAAATATATGTACCTTTGTCCTATGGTCACTCCAAATTAACGGGCACTCCTATAATGGTGATAAGTGAATTTCAGTGGGAATTCATGACCAGAGGGAATGCGTCTGGCTCTGAGAAGGTGATTTCATTTCTGGTTGGCAGTTCAAAACCACCAGCATTATGTTGCTAATCATGCATATTTGACTAAACTTCTTTTCAGCCCTTGGTGCCCTTGGCTGCCTGCTAGACTATCTAAATTTTAGATTTTGGGTTTGGGGTTTTTTGGTTTTTTTTGAGGTGTATAGCATTGTTCACCGATCACATCAGAATTATTTGACTTGGAAACCTCACTAAGGGAACCAGATTTTACTTTAAACACATCTAAAATACTCCTTTGGACTTAAAGCTGAAACACTCTGGTGCAGCAGTTGTCAACCTATGGGTCTCGACCCCTTTGGGGGTCGAACGAACCTTTCACAGGGGCCGCC